TCAGTTGCGTTGTCCAGGAATGCACGCTTTTTAAGCCACTGCAGGAACACAATAAGAGCGTATAAAAGTGACTTAAATGGAAACTTGTTATCTTGCACGTATTCAGATCCTAGCTCCACGGTGGCAAATTCGCTGCGCGAGGCTTTCAGGCTGAGCGAGTCCCATGCCTTGAGAGCAAGACTCTCGCCTCTGGCAGCGCAGGAGTCCTATATGGCAGGAAGGGTGCTGTGGCCGCTCCGCAGGGGACCAGGGCCGTGGGGCGCAGGCACGTGCCCCGGGCAGGCGAGCGGCCTGGTCCCCTGTGCTACCTCCTGCTGCCCTCTCCACGCGCACCCCCTGCCGCCCCAGGTCTCCAGGGTCAGTGGAGAGGAAATTTGAAGAATTTTAGACAGGTCGTGGCATTTTGCCAGCACATCCTCTAAAGCACTTACAGGACAAATTGGGCAGGGCATTGAGAGAAAAGACAGGACTGAGCAGTGATATCAGAGTAGATAAAAGATAAATTTGAAGGAGATCTCTTATATATTTAATAGTCCTTGGACTAATAATAGAGCCTTACGAAATCTTTTGTGTGGATTAAAACCCTCTTAAATTCGAACATGATCTATGAGGAGGAGCCTTTATTAGTTCGTCTTTGCATGAGACACGCTGGTTAGTATCTCGTAAAGACTTCTCACACCTTTGCAGTCCGGTAAAATTTGGTGCCATTTGCCTCTGCTGGTGTTGCTAGCGCAGCTCAAGGAAGGGAACAATGTCGCTCCTGGGGCTTTTTTGAAAAGAATAGAACGAGAAAAGAGAATTGATGAAAAAGTAATGGCCATATTAACATATCTAGGATTTACTGCTACTGCTTTGTTCAGTCCATGCAACGGGTCGTCAGCAGCTAGTTCATCACCTCAGTGTACGTCATTGCGAAGGTGATCCCATGCAACATCTGCTTCTCTGCTGTGACTGAGGAGTTCAGCTCTTTGCTCAGTCTTTCTCAGCACTTTGGAGGCTACTGGTGCTGCTAGAAGCCACTACTGAGTTTCTCTCTATTTTCTTTTTTTTTCAAATCTGGAGCAGTTCCCAGATAAAACATCTGCTCTTCTAAATTACTCATCAAAGGGTTGATCTGACCAAGGAGGCAGTGTTGACAACTCCACTTATCCACAATAAGTGGACAAATCTCCCTCTCTTCCTGTAGAACATCTGGAGCTGAAACTCCATTTCTGGGTAGTTAGGACCCCGTGGAAAACAAACGCAGTAAAACCTCCCCAGCAAACATATGAAGCTGAGCGTTTTTGTACAGCTGCTGTTGTACATGCTAATTGGGTGGCTTAAGCTATATCCAAAAGGGAATTCAGGAATGAGAGAAATAAATAATTGCACAAATGTCAGTGACCCACCTACTTTGAAGAACTGCTTGGGAACGTTCCAGCAAAATCTCTTACCACATGCAGATGTGCTTTTTAGGGATTTATTGGAAGGGTTACACACATAGGCAGGGATTTTAAGCAGCGCTGTACCTCAATGTTTCTGTATTAGGTCAACAGTTACCTTTTAAAATGCATTAAATACAGGGCCCATAAACCGTGGCCTGTTGTTTTGATCTCCTCCCCACCTCTTGCGTGCCTGTTTTCTCTTGCTTTCATGCAGTCGTGCTAAATGCTAATGGGAAGCTGGTACCTCTCCAAGCCCTCCTTTAGGGGGGCAATATCTTCCCGTGCCGAATCCCTAACTCCTCCGTTTTAGTGGCTGCCCAGTGCGAGGGAGTGTTTGTTCCTGAGCTTTTGGTGTTTAGTTCGGAATGATTTATATGATAATGTTTATCAAAGCCTGAATGCGTTAACAATCTGTATTTTGATGCCTTGTAACTGAATCAAACCTAGGAGACAATAATTAGCTGTGGAGCTGATGATAACAGCAGTTTGTTCACCAGTGAGCCTTGCTGGCCTGGTAGCTTTCTTCTTTTCTCTTTTTTTTTTTTTTTGTCTTCGTTCCAACTCAGAAAATAGTTGTTGTTCATTTGTGTTTTAAGTACGGTTCAGAAAGATAGCGCGTCCAAAAGGGAACTTTAAAAAATAACATTCTGTAGCCTCTGGTTCATGTATTTATCAGTGCTAATTGCATGTGATTCACTGGGCCTTTTATCAAAAGGGCCACCACAAGCAGCAAGATCAGAGAACCCAGACCATGGTAGGGCAAGGCCGTTCTCTAATTTATTCATTTTTTGACTTTCTTCTTCTTTGTAGAAAGTGTCCAACTAGCCAGCGCTGTCTTTACTCCAGAATGTTTCCAAAGCAATGTGAGACTGCTTCTAGCTTCCCTGCAAAATCATATTTTTCTTCCTGTGTAAGCTAAAAGCAGCACGAAAGGGATGTGACTCCCTATCAGGGAGAATTTGCCCTAATTTTATGGAAAACCTAGTGCTTTTTTTAAGAGGCAGATGCAAGAAATATAGGCAAAATTATGCAGAATATTTGGAAAATCTGCCATAAGAATGCTGTTCTTTTAATTATTATTTAATTTTAGCTGATGAAAAATGTAGTCAGTTGAGCAGGTATCCATTGGAGCTGCAGTCAGCCACAGCTCGTTCATCCATCTTTGGTGGGCAATATGCCAAAAAATGCGTCCCGGGACACTGAGTCCTCCCTAGGATAAGGTGATTCCCTGGTCACTATTCTGTTACTTGGATTATGAGATCAAGGACTCCACACAGTAATTCAGGATAAAACCTCTCTACAGTCATTA